GCGCTAGAGCGAGAGTGCGGTTTCTAAATTCCCGGTCGACGGAGCCATCCGGTTGCTCAGGAGCGGCCCAATGGCTCAGGAGCGTTAGAGCAAAAGGTTGTTCTCCAAATTCCCGGTTGATAAAAAGGCGCCCAGTGGCTCAGCAGCCGCCCAGTTACTCAGCAGCGGCCCAGTGACTCAGCGGCGGCCCAGTGGCTCAGCAGCGCTAGAGCGAGAGGGCGGATTGCGGCGCGAGCGCGAGCCTCGGGCGCTAGGTGGCGTGCGCGGCGGCGGGGGCGGGCGCCGGAGGGGGGAGGGGGCTCACGTGCGACGGGGACGGCGAGGGGGCGGCGGTAATCGGCGCGCGCAGGCCCGAGTGCCGCCGCAGCAGCTCGGTGACCGTGATGGCCACCTGCACGGTGCCCTTGCCCTCGAGCACGTCCGCCGCGCAGCACATCAGCTTCTGCACGGAGATATGGCGGTGAGTGGATTTGTTCCCAATGGTGTTTTAATAAAGACGACGGACGTCCATACTGCGCGGCCTATAAATATTTCCGCTTTACATTATATAACATAATATATAAAAGAATGTCTGAGGTGATATAGAAAGTACGATACGGAAAGAGTCTATTACCGTTTCAGTACCTACCTCAGTTTCGGTGTGCTACTGCCATATTTACCTCTTACTCGTATATAATATCATTGATTTTTTGCACGATCCCTGTGCATGGGAGGCTGTAACACGAAGCCGGCGATAAAAAGAAATGCATTTGAATTTAGAACGACCGATTCGAATATGACACAATTTTACGTTACGTAGGAATGTAACCGCATTGTACAGAAGGGGATGTGGTGACCACTTAATCTATTAACATCCGCAGTCAAGTAACGGACAATTAAGAAGATTCTCTGGATTAGTTATATTCGTTCGTCATGAAATAATTATGTATACCAGTTTTATGAACTGGCAGCGCTGACAGATGATTTTCGAACGAGGTGGTTTCTTTAATTAGATATTTACGTAGCAATAGTTCCTGTTCGTTACCTTACCACTTAAAGATATAGATAACCATGATTTTATATTCATGCTAACACTTTCTAGCTGAAGGAACTATATGACGACAAGTTTAATTGTTGTATCTGGTGTTAATCGAAAACAACACATTATCTCCACTTCTAATTACATTTAAGTCTTTTAAATACACAGGCATTGTGTAGTCGCGATTTTAAACAAACCAATTAATCGACAGTGGGCGGTAATGAAACACAAAATTGCGCCAATATGAATTTTATTTAATTAAATAGAGAATAAAACACTGTAAGTACATACAAAAAAGTACATTCGTAAACCTGTTATCCGAAAGGAATACATTCCCACAATCATAATCAAAACTTATAATAGACGAGAGTACACTATGTATACTTAACTAGACAAATGCAATTGTTAAAATTCAAGACACAATAATACTAAATCATTTTTATCAAAAATGAATCAAACAATTTTACTATTTTTCAAATGAGCTGAGAAAATCCAGATGACGCGACGGTCTGGTCTTAATGCACTTTAACTGAATTTTGGCAAGAAACTTATCTCGACGATAATATAACAATAATTTTATATGTTTATTGTCCATATTGTGTCCGGATTTTTTAAATGAATTATTTAATTATTATTAAGAATGAGTTAGTCCCACGTAAAGTATGTCTTTTTTGCTTTATACTAAATTTTTCTATTTCTAAATAGTTATAATGGAAGCCTACGAATTATCGTAAGTAATCTTATAATAACATAATCATCAATATAAATGTTGAGTACAACACATTTTTTTATTAGTAAGTAATGTATTAAGTAATTTATTTGACACAGTCGAGTGCAAAACTTCATAAGTGAGTCATAAAGTTGCAAAATATACGTATTTGATGTGAAAGATGTTGACTTAATGCAAAGCAATGACAATTTATGATCTGACTACAATGTTAGAAAAAAAAAAACAAGTGAATAGTGCATTAAAACCGGACTGTAAAATTATCATATACAGAAGCACCACAAACCATCGATATATTCTATGTAAGCATAAATTAATTATATATTAAATATCTCTTAGTGTAGTGTATTAGTTTAGCATTGTACTTGAAAAGTTAAAGCTCAAAATAATGTTGACATTAGCAAAGGTTAATGCGCTATGACACACGACAACTATAAGATAACAAAAAAAAACTATATACATATAGGTATTTGTATACAGCGTGTCTTTACCATCGCGACAATAAATGAACACATATATAGAGTATAACTTTTTAAAATTGTATTAAAGATTTACATTCTTTAAACTTCGATATTTAACGAGTTTTAAAATTTTCCAATATTATAAAACTTTTATGTAAAGTTCATTTGTAAAGGTCACAAAGCATATGAATGGGTTGAATGAATTTAAAAGAGACAAAACAAAGTATTGTTAGAAGGAGAGACTTGTAATGCGGCGCTGTGGCAACGAATGAAAAAGTCTCAGAATGTATGAATCAGTCAGTTGTAGTTGTATAGGATGTTACAAATTTAGTTTCTTTTTTAATTATTAGTTTGTTTGAAAAATATATTTTTTTTAATAATGGATTTTTTTGACGTTAATATTTTTTATGATTATTGGCAAGTAGAGTTAGACGTGTGATCATTTATTGTCACGGTGGTAAAGACACGCTGTATAAATAGAGGTTTATTTATATATATTTTTAGTAGGATGTAATACTAGAAAGAAGATAATTTTTAATTAATGGCTTTATAAAACTCATTACAGTCAATGAAATGCATTCAAAGTTTCACGTTATATAAAACATATGAATAATTGATTGGGATTTTTTAGGATATATAATTTTAAGTCCATAATGATGACATTTCAAGCAGTTGTCGTGTGTTAAATAAGTGATATAGCCATTGCGAAAGAAAAAAAATGGTAGTGTCCTCATACCAAACTTAAATAAAAAGTATAAATAACTATTGAATCACAAAAGTGTGTACATCAGTACGAATACACACAGATCTAAACGGATTACAGAATAGTGTCTTTAAAAATATATTTAATAACGTCTTTGGAATGCTTACAAAATATGCACGGAATGATTTAACTCAGCGAGTGTGCATATTAAAAATTGCATCCGCGGCGGGTGCAAATACGTTACGTTCATCTACTGTTCAATTCCTTACAGTTTGCATCGAAATGGGAAACTGTGCTTTTGATAATTCTTAACTATGGCAAGAATAAAAGCTATTTCCTGGATCGCTTTCGCCAAGTTACACCACCCGGTCGAGTTTCGTTTTAAATGCAATGGATATTAGTAATCGTTAATTATACCACAAGGCATACAGTTATCGTTCGTCAACCGATCGGTTTCGTTATGAAATGCTAAGTTACATACGTGACAATATAATTAGAAAATTTTAAAACGACCTCATGTCTTTTATTATAATCATCTCTGTCCAAAATTTAAATGGTAAAGCCTCGAAATACAGTCTAAATATCACTAAGCGCTACTAGAGATTAAGACTGGTACGACCGGAACACAGTTTTAATAAACATTTTCGAAGCTATGCTGATATGAAATCTCGTATAAGATTATCGTATTAATTCGTGTATTTTGAATTATGGCTAATAGAATACAAGCATACACATTTCTGATCGCGTTACAGATGTGTGAACATGACTGTACAGGAGTCAAGTCTTTAACAAAATGGTGAAAAAAACTGTGTCTTTGGTCGTTCCACAGTAATCGTTAATATAATGTTTTGCATTATAAATACAATAACGATATGATGTTTTAATTAAGGCATATTCTTATTTGATAAGAAACGTTGTATATTTTATAATCGCTAATAGTAAGCTACGAATTCCAATAGTATAACGTCATTATCGTACTATCATATTTTTATTTCAACATTTTCAAACTTCTTGCACCAAATTTGTATGAAAGATCGGATTGTACTCTTAATTTTTAAAGTGACAAAACGGCCATAGATTATAAAATACGGTAAAAGGCAAATTTGGCAACTGGCTTTCGTAGGAATCAACTGAATTTTGGTTTCAATCACTGTTGATATGTAAAAAATATTTCGTAAATGCTCTATGGCCATTTTAATGAGGTAACGTGCACAATATTGTAAATATAGTTTATAATTTGTCCCCCATATTTCATCACCGATAAAACCCTACTGTTTCTACAACTACTCCATTAGTAATTTAAACTCAATCGATAAAAGTCTTATTTTAGGATCATAAGATCATACCTAGGCAGTGACTTGTTTGCCTCCACTAAATACGTCAAATCACGCCTAGAACAAAGTGCATACATTCTTAAGTATTTTTTTTAAATTAAAACTAGGTGCAAATAGCAAAAATATTGCTCAATAACTTAAAAGTAATTACAGTGAATAAACTAATTACAATTTTAAATTAATTTACATAAAACTTAGTGTAATAGAAAAACCTCTCCAAACAAAACAATGCTGAGATCTCTGGAATATAAGAAAAAATAATACAAAGCACAACAGATAAACGAATGCAAATAATTGTCAACCAAATTTCAAATAGCCAATCAAGTTCCAATTAACAATTAACAAAATCATATAATTTAGAAATTTATGAAGCCTCAGAATAGAAAGAAATTTAGAAAATATTAAATTACAGCTACAATATTAATTTCGATTAAAAAAAAATGTGGTAAAAAAATTATAATGCATTATATCATCTGTATACGAATACCTTAGTTCAGTCTCACACATAGCATTCCGTTTGTAAACTACAAGCAGCCTCCAAATTACATTTCAGACTACAATCACAGTTCCGAAGTAAGGCATCATTCCGTTATGTGGTCAAATCACACTAGTGGTGCGCGCTCAAGAAAATCTCTTCAAATCCTATTACTGACATCAAAACAACGCTTCAACTAACCTCCATTTGTGCACAACCGAAGAACAAAATAGAAAATTAAATTACAAATGATATTCGAAGCGACCACAGACTAAAAACTTAAAGAGGGAACAGAATAAGCAAGATGGCGGACGCGACGAACGTGCCTAGGCATAACCACGTCACGAGTACCCTGTGCTCTCGCTCTTCTTCGGTCTCCGTCAAAGGGGCCACAGCGGTGTTGTTGTTGCACTGGAGGTCCAAATTCAACTTGTCCCTATCGTAGCGTCCCTCGTGGTCCGTTTCGTTGGCGGCCTCCAGCGGGCAGTCCACCTCGTCCGTGTCGTAGATCTCGAAGTTGTCGCTCGTCAGCACCGAGCCCTCCTTGCAGAAGGGCGTCACGAATTGGATCCTGTTGTTCTGGTAATAGGGTCCTCTGTTCCTCAGCCCGTCGTACACGGGCGAATAGTTCACGCTGGGCGGAGGCTCGTTGGCGTTCTCGTAATTCAAGTGCAGCTCGTCGGACTCGTCTATTGTGTAGTTGGTCGTGTAGCCGTAGTTGAAGTTGCTTATGAATCTGTCCTCGGCGTATCTGCTCGGCTGCCTGTAGTAGTTCAATTCTAGCGCCGTCCCCGCGCTCTCGGTCCCGTACGCGGCTTCTTCGGCTTCTTCGTCGTCCGGGGGCGGTTCGTTGACCCCGTTGCCATAGTAACGCGGGTCGACTCGCGTGCCCTTTGGCGGCGTGTACGGCGTGGCGTGTGTGAGGAGCGCGCCGACCGTGCAAGCGAGAGGGACGATACTGGCGTCTCCCTCTCGCTCCGGGTACGCCAGTATGTCGGCGGGCGAACAGATGAGCTCCTGCAACACACGCCACCCGACTCTTAAGTTTCACAATAATTTCCGCCGGCCCGCGAAAGGACACCGAGCGACCCTGCAACACTCGAAAAGGACGCGCGCTTTCTCTCGGGCCGATTACGGACACGGCGGCGATTAAAATGGGGCATCATTCTATTGACTTCCATTAAGAACAGTAATGCGTTAACGCGCAAACATCGAGTTGCAACTATTTTAAATATTTAAACACTACAAATCCAATAGGTGTACTAGACTAATAATAACACATGAATATTTGTTATTTATGACTAACTAAAAGATTGGATTTAATATTTTGAAATTTTGTAAGCTTACCTCCTCCACTCCAATTTTCCGGCACGCCTCCAGGAAGTTGTCGACATTTCTTCTACACCTTGCCATTGTTAATTTTGGCTGAAACCAAAATAATATAATAATAAAAGAAACGTAAAATTCGATATAGATGTGTTCGCAGCTCATACTGAATATCAAAAAATCAGATATATTGTATTTATTCAAGTATAACGGTCATAATTGAACGGAAGTGGTCAAATATACAGTGTTATCAATTATGAACACGATAAACTTAGTGAAAAGAATGGGAACCTTACTGGAAATAAAATTTTTGAATAATACACAAAAGCAATAAAAAAAAAAACTTGACTCGAAGAGGGCGACTTGACTGGAGAGGCGAGAGGGGTCGAAGTTGGGCAGTGTGGGGAAGGCGTTGAGGGGAGGGAGTGGAGGGGGCGAGCGGGGGCGCTCACCTGGGCGGGGGAGGGCACGTGCACGGAGGCGACGGCGCGCGGGCGCACGTGGTTCGCGAGGTGGCACAGCACCACGCCGTCCGCCAGCACCGGCGCCAGCTGCTCCGGCAGCGACATCTTCAGCCGCGTCTCGATTATCTGCCGACGGTCGAACGGAAATCAGTGCACTGACCGACTCTGCTAGGGCTGACGGCCAGTGTTCTATATCGATATCTTTTATTCTGGGTGGGTTCAAATCGAGTTTCTAATGTGTATTGCAGGCCTGTCCGCTGCAAGCACACATTGGACATTATGCTTCTATGTTTTGCCATTACTACTTATGATTCAAGGAATCCTACATACTATATGTACACAGAAACAAGTTTCTGTCTACCAAATATAATTCACTCGACTTTTCATCTTAATTAAAGACATTAAGACTTTGCATTCATAATTATTTGACTATACTGTAGCTTATAAGTAAGAGTAGCATACTGCTGAAAATTTGTCTTCAATCGAAGAAACGAATAACAGATTGATTGATGATATAAAAAAATAGTTAAACATTAATTGTCTTTCTAAAAAAAGTTCTACCGCTTTAAAATTTTTTAAAACCACCGAATTTAAGTCTGTTCTGTGTTCTGTCATGTCTGTTACTGTCACAAAAATGATTATTTGGAGATTTGCTTAAAACTACTGTTTGTATCAAAGTTACATCATAAGCGATAATAAAAACGCATTTCATTTCTACACTAACTAATCTCGACGGACACAACGCGTATTACCGTCCTCAGCTGCGCCAGGAGCTCGGACTCCTCCCTCTGCTTGTCGAACTCCCGCTTCATGGTGAAGCTGAGCTTGTCGGTGGCGTCCTTGCTCCAGGGCATCTTGCCCGCCCTCGGGGCGCCCCTCAGGTAAGTGACCGTCGCCGCGACCAGCTTGGCGCCGTCGCCGTTCTGCTGGCGCGCCACGGCCGAACGGAGCGGCGATTTGGTGGGCGATGTGGGCTTCACGTAGGCCTCCGCTTGGCCGTTGGCGCGGGCATAGTCAGCTGCACCGTTCGCGCTCGCGTACGGCCTGCTCACGTTCCGCGAGGGGACCACCTTCTGGACGGGCCGGCGGTTCGCCTCGTCGCCGCCGCTCTGGCCCTGCACCCGTCTCGGCGTCGAGTGGAGCAGGGGCGAGTTGGGCAACTGGGGCGAGACGGGCAACTGGGGCGCGTTGGGCAACTGGGCCGCGTTGGGCAACTGGGCCGCGTTGGGCAACTGGGGCGCGTTCGGCGACTGGGACGCGTTGGAGGAGAGCGAGCGGTGGTACGGGCTGGGGGAGGTGTGCCCGTTGACGGGGGAGTGCGGGGCGGAGCTCCTCTGGAAGTGGACGGGGGACTGCGACTGCGAATGGGGCGCGGGGTCCAGCTCGGGCGAGGGCTGGTCGGTGCGGGGCCGGTAGATGTCCTGCTGGCGCTGCTGTCTTAGGGCTTCTTTGTATTGTCTGCAGATGAGAGTTGGGAAGAAATGTAAGTAAAAAATCAACTAGCCGATGCACACAGATGGGCGAGATGAAAACGTCCAATAAACCAATACCATTTGAAACAAGAAGCGTGATAATGTCTATTTTTAATGTTTAGAGTAAAATTCTAGCTTTCTTGTTACTTTCTCTCATTCATCGAAACGTTTTCACCTTGACCATCAAATAGATCCAATGACACTTAGATATGTCAAAGCAAACACAAATAGTGTAAGTGAATGTTCGATCGAGAAAATGAAATAGCGTTAAGCATTCGAAATGAAATGAAACACCAACAACTGACGAACACGCGCGTATTAAAAACCCGCAAGCTAAAATGTGTCACCATGTTAAGTTACAACGCTTCACAGATACAGTTAGCCCCACACCTAAGTGTCATCACAGATTAAGAAAAAAAAAACCGTTTAGTGCGTTATGTACATGAGAGAGTCGTGCATATGAGTGACGATGTACCTGTAGGTTTGCTGATGTGCTAATTTAGTCTTATCGTCGCCATTTGTAATGGTCCCTTCGGGTGATATACGGAGGCTGAAAGGGACAACACCGGGGGGTTAATATAAAAAAGGGGCCGGAGAAAAATAAAACAGTAAAAGGGTATTTAAATATATTATGCGACAGAGGAAGTGATGATGTCCATGAAGAAGACGGGAGTTTTGTTAAAACTTCTGTTTACCTCTGTTTCAGCCAATGCAAGAGAAACGGGAGAGAATTTAGAAAGATTACAAAGGTATTTCTAAGAGTTTCCTACAAATAAGTAGAATGCTTACACGTACACACTTCATATAAAACATTTTTATATAACCTTTTTTAAATCACTTTACAGGACGTTGAACCTGACAGCACTTTAAAAATTACATTAAGTGTTGATTGCTTAACCCAATCCATCCCATAACTAACATACTACTGTAATAATATAAAGTTTAATTCACATTGATGTCGAGTCATATCGTAGCGAAGCAACACTTTAAAAATGCAGCATTTTTTTGCACTTTGTCCCCTATCACGGTGGCAAAGAGCACACATTTATACTTTGTTCACCAACAGACGTTGGTCCCACTCATTTGATTAAGAGTTTACTTCGATACGCATTGACTTTGCATCAATGTAAATAGACCCAAAGTTTTGCATGCATGAAAATACTTATCCATATTGCTACTTAACATATCTACCCGCATGCCTTGTAAGGTTTTTAAATATCACAGACTATATAAACCAAATACTTGGTTCAACAGAATGTGAATAACAGTTCACCACAATTGTAATATACTTATTATGTCATTTTTTTGTAACCAGATTATTTGAAAAAAAAAAATCACAATACATAATAAATTGAGTTAACTTCATTATACTTTTTTTCATTTTCTCTTTTTCTAAAAAGATTCTAATTTAATTAGAGAGTATCTATTCACATCAGTTATGTATCGATCGATACGTATCGTTTACCGCATTTAGGAATTAATCCAGTTACACAATGTAGAATGACAGGCATGACGTGTTTACGTCATATACGAGTATATCTTCATCACGGCGCCTGCTTCAAATACACAAATTTAATCAAACAACAGAAACAGGTTTAATCTTAAATAATACTAACTAACAATATCCCTCTACTTAATTGTCATCGAAAAATTAACGACTAACTTCATTACATCGACCACACCACATCTGTATACAAATCTGCCCCAAACTAGTTAAGTCTAGCACTTACCCGGTGAGTAAAGGCGTCAAAGGGGCTAAAGGGGATTCACTGGAGAGAGAGTGGGCGCGAGACAGGGCAGCCCCTGGTGAGAGGGTGGAGGGTGTGCTCGGAGTGGAGCGGCCTGAACCCCCACCGCCCGCTTCGCCACCCGCTGCCAATAGAAAGCTCACGATAACGCAACAAATAGTCGAACTCGTCAACTCGTTTATCACAGTAGCCGGCATCACGAAGTAACACAGAACAACAGGCAAATAGATAATAACTAATTCAAAGTCAAAGTCAAAATATCTTTACTCAGTATAGGCTTAACTTAAGCTCTTATTGAACTTCAAAAAAAACTACCACCGTTAACTGATATGTAAGAGGGTGTTAACTGAGCTGGCGGTTCACCTGATGTTAAGTGATAATTACGAATTCATACAACTGTACGGTTTTAGATGCACTACCAGATTTTTAATATCGTTCGCCCCGGGTACCACACACATCAGACGAAACGCAGAAGTATAACGTTTCCATTTGACGCCGGTTTTCGGTAAGGTCGTGGTACTTACCCGGACGGATCTGCCCATTCGTGCAACAGAGAACTGTTGCGTGGCTCTACCACAGTACTACTTGACTATTATCCCATCGGTAATTATGCACGAACTTAGCATTAGTCTTATATTGAAGGATACTGTGCATTAACAAAGGCAACGGGAATGTCATCAACAAAACAATAAAAAGCCTGCCAAGTGTTAGGTCTTCAGATGATGAAATTGGAGAGAGAGATATTGAGTTTTTTAATTCCTACCCCGCACTTTTCAGACAGTCAAACTTATAAAACTTGCAGTGTTATAAGGTGTAACATAGAATAATAAAAAACGTAGTTTCATGAAAAGCAATTATAAACACGCGTAATATATCACCGCGGCTTGGATTCGAATCCCGAACTTGCCGATCATTATTCAGTTCATTACTCAACGGAGACAGGGAACCGAATTCAGTAACAAACTGTACGGCGGAAATATTGCCTTCAATCAGTTTCAATTACCGACAACGATTTGACCTTGACCTTCCAAATTGCAAATTGGGCTTGCGCTCATATTTTTCACACACCTCGTTTATTTCAACAACGAAATGGATTAGTCTTCAAAAATTTGTAAAACATTCAATTGTCGGTACAAACAAGATAGGTACAGGGTGCAAGAAATTAAATTGCCTGTATCTGGAATTTTTATTCTACTTCGGTATTTAACTTTTCTTTCAATAGACACAGAAAGTATTTCGTAATTGAAAGCAGAACACTACCGAATGATAACCTCCTAATTTTTAAGTCGGTTAACAAAAACTAATACTTAATTATGGTCCATGAATGCATACCAACTACGAGTCGTTAAGTTGGTGACACACCGAGCGTCGTGTGTCTCGACGTACGATCCCTCAAGCTAGCAACACCTGCCAAGTCCTACCTTCATTGGACCACCTCTTGTCCACGCCGTCCGTGCAGTAGCCGCTGTCGATGACGTGTCTCGGCTTGTGACGTAAGCAGTCGATGGTCGCGTTGCCCGAGGTGATCTGGTGCGCGGCGCTTTGCGGGGCCGAGCTGTTGATGTATGACGTGTGCTTCGCCGACCGTCTCGTCTCGTCGAGCCGCCTGTGTGCCGGCAGCGAGTCCTTGTTCGACATGTTCTCCAGATACTTGAATATGTGCACGCGCCCGCGCATACACACCTGGAAGCGGGGATAGGGAGTCTATAGGTACCAGTGTTTCTCAAACTTTTTTTGATGTACCGTGCCACTTTAGGAAAAATTGAATACCCACTCCATAATAATACCGAACAGAAATAATTATAATAATAAGGTAGGCCGTTTAATAAATTTCTCCTTGAATGAGTGAAATGTCTGGATAGTGTGGCCGCAACCAATTTTCAACGTTCCGTTTTACCTACTCTCCTCCGCCCACCGATTTTTATTTCAGTTTCAATTTAGATAGCCTCAGCGCCCACTGGGGGGCGGTACCGCCCACTTTGAAAGCCTTCGTTAAGACCTTCGTCTTTTACGGGAGGAAACAGTGGTTCCTTCGTAACTTTGACATCTGAAGGGCCATAACCCACAATCATTTACCGCTGCTAAAGTGACGGAAAATTAGATTGTCATTAAATAGTAAGAAAAACATGACATCAGTAACACTTAGAAAAACGCTCGAGCCGTTGCTTAGAAAGCTATAGACTTTAATTTAGCTTAAAATGTTTTCAACTAAACTGCTTTGTAAAAACGGTCTCACCGAAAAATGTAATAAAAACGTCAAGTATTTAGTGTTCTTGTTGCGATATTTTCAGCGTTGGAAATCAATAGCGATAAGTGTTTTTAGCAAAAACAAAGGCAAGAAGCCCAATATCCAAGAAAATACTATTTTAGGTCAGCTCATTAAAAAAAGTTATGAACAAAAAATGGGGAATTATTATTAAAGTATTCCAAAAATCTCAGTGTGCTGGTTATTACTAAAGACGGCACACGACAATTTTACCCGATATTTATTATTTTAGATTATGTCTCAGAAAAAAATAAACTTTAAATAGTCTATAAACTGAACTCATTATGCAACATATGTAGAGAGGGAGGATCTCTGGCACCTGCAATGTGATCTTCATATAGGGACTTAATTATTACAATTTTCATATAGTATCTTAATTATGGTCGCCTGGTACAAGCGATTGAATGTTAAAAACCGAAACACTTATGTCAACATTCAAAAGGCTTGCTTGTAACAGCTAAATGCGAAAATTTATCAGTCAAATAATAATGATGCATCATTTTGAAGTTAAAAGCACTCTAGAGGTTACAAAAGCAGTGAAATAATGTGCGAATAAAGTGGGAAGTTTAGCGAACAAAGTTAATAATTACTATGAAAGCATAACGGTTTTCGGGATTTGCAGCGTATCAACAAAAAACACTTTTTTTGTTGGTACGTTTTAATTATAACAACGGTCTGCATATTAAAATGTTAATTAAGTCAAATTCGAATTGTTACAGTTTTTCAACAGGTACAAAAAATACACAACGATGAAGTTAATAGGATAATAATTGTATATTTTATACTAAATGCTTACGCGTTGAATGTCTAAGGAGTCATGACTTTTCAAACAAAGCTATTAGAGTGTACGTCGACACTTAATATGCTCTTTTTTTCGATGTAGGAAAAGTACTTCACTTCATCATACTAGGGAATAATTCTTGTATGACGAGGGTTTGACAAACATGAAATCACGGAATCTTATTATATCCTGGACTCAAGCACTTTAGACCACCCTAAGGTTGACTGGTAAATAATCTTGATGGCATTAAGTCCGTCTTTAAACAATATTTTTTGTTGAACATTTATCATAAATAAATGTACAGCTCTGGATTGTCTACATTTGTGTTTTGAAAAGTCGAACTGTGTATCGTTTTAAATAATTTTTAATTTAACTCATAAGTGTGTCATTATGAACCTAAAACATTTTGAAACATTAATTTTAAATATTAATAATAAAATAGTTATAATAGTTATAATTGTACCATAATTTTCACTAGTTTACAGACATACTGTAAAATAATAATAGAAAAGTTCCAATGTAAAATATAAGTTCGAGCTAGGCCTCTGGCCATGTATCATTGAGATGTTATTAAGCAAACAAATAGGGCGGGATCATAATCATAGCAATAAATTTCAAAACGCCAGCCAAGACTGCGATACGATGCTTTCGAAGTCTAACCGAATGCAATTTCTTGACGAAACACGTCAAAAAATACTCACTGTAGTCGGTGGCGAGACGAGAGGGTTGTTGTCCAAGTTGAGTGTTATTAGTGTGGTCATGTTACGAAGTTCCAGTGGTAGAGACGATATGCAGTTGCAGCTGACGTCCAAATGCTCGAGGCGTAGATATGTGATTTCTGCGAAAGAAATGTGATGGTGTTTAAAATATAAAAATCAATTGTTATTCATCAGTAATCCAACAACATCACAGATTTCATAAGTTGAGCTAATAATTTCAACATGTGGGCCAATGAAGGATTGTAAAAGAGGAGTAATACACTCAGGTTTACGTTAGTTGCTTTTGTAACGAATATTTGAGGTGGTGAAAGTAACTATAAGTTTTTTTTAACTGTGATAATTTTGTTTACAAGTTTAGCCGAGTTCTCGTATATTTGATCGTTAAGAGGGAGACCTTCACAAAAACCCTAACTGCACAAATTCTACCGTCTTTTCACACTGGTGGAGTGGAGGGAGGTAGCTTATTCTATGCACATTTCACTGACTTTTAGTCCAAATGTTGTCGTATACTTCACACAAATTACAAACCGTAAAATGCCGTCAGATGTTACATCGACGTAATTTTGTCTTTGATTCAAATAATTTTTCTTCCGCTTTTACAGTTGCCAAATCTTTTGCTAGTGTGTTGAACTAAGTAAGAGAGATGTAGCCGACTTGACAACTAGAAAAAATAATTACGATCAACGCCATGTAGCTGCACTATTGTAATATTAAGTCAACCACGCCCGATCTGCTAATCAAAGTAAAGTATGTACAAAAAGGACGACCAAATGGAGTGACGACATGTGCAAATATTCAGGAAGGCCTATGTTCAGCAGTAGACTCGAACAGCTAGAACTCAAGACTCAACTCAAGACTAGAACTCGAATAGCTGACATGATGATGGTGATGAACAAAAAGGAAGTGTATTGCATTTAACTACTATGTTTTTATAATTCAATTCTAGCTAATAAGTAACTTACATTAAAATGACAAGTTCATTACATCATATATTCATAATGGATATGAGATGATATCGTGCTGTTAATTTGGCATTGGTCCAATTCAGTCGTGGTGTTCTTGATAAAGTGAGGCGTATTAGGATAGCTTTCGCCGCACCTTCACCGCGCCCAAACCATATTTCACTTAGTGCCGTGTCATACGGTTACACTGCGTATCAATTTCTATCGTTATTGGTAGAGATATATTATCAACCGAGTACTCGGAGCAAAAAAGACCCTCTTTTGAGGGAGCACGTCCTGCATCGCGGCGGATTTCACAAACAAGACATGAACTCTTTTTTTGCATCTAAATAAATAAAATCATATTGCAATAATTTATACACTTACCGACCACATAGTCTTAATTTATTATGTTAAACAATGTGGAATCCAGGTCGAGGAGAGTGACGACATTAAAGCAACAAGAATGACAATGAAAATTTGAAAAAATAAAATGAAAACGAGAAAAAAGTAAAGATTGTGTGAGTTTGTTTCATATTCACAACCATACGGCTATGGCTGAGCTGGTTTTACGTTTAGGATACTTTTTAATACCTATGTCACTTTAAAAAGAATGAAGTTACCATAAAATTACTGAAAATACCAATATGCAGATTACGAAAATTGGTTAAAAGATATAGACGATGTAAAGGAGTAGGTACAGTAGCACAATATAGCTAGAAAACATCCACTGTTGAACAAAGACCTCGCCATTAGAACGACGCCACAGTGAATGACACTGCCATTTCTCTCTTTACCAAGTGTGTGATAGGTATATCATGGCAAATGCGCTCTCCCGCCAATGACAGATGTAGTTGCATATTTTAATTTTCATTTACTATACAGGGAGGCTTTTTTAAAGGTGCTCAAAATTACACAGGAGGTTCAGATTCGGTAGTATAATCGTTCTCTTTATAATCTCATGAATGGGAGCTACAACAGATATGATTCTTTTGCAATTTTTTTATATAGATAATGGTACGGAACCCTTTGTGCGCGAGTCCGACTAGCACTTGGCCGTTTTTTTTTATTTGGGCCTCGTATAAGGTATTATGAATGTCACCATTTACAACGAACCTTAGTCTAAAGAAGAGGAGGCAGGTAGCAATTATTTGTTATGCTTTACATGTGATTTTTTTTGTATTTCCTATAAAGAATATTGCTTAAGTTTAAATAAGTTAAATTAGTCAATGTTGCAAAGTATACCGTCTAGTTATTCGTAATTACGTTCGAGATAAATTAATGATTACCGCAAAGGTGCAATGTAAATTAAGTATCGAGTATGCGTGCAGTTTCCGTGACTCATTAACACCTGCGTAGTATGTCCGATACCAGTCATTTAACCATATATTACTAGTCGTTACGACGAAAGAAATTAAGAAAAGAAACAGTTTTATAAAAAAAAAAGTTACTGTGGTTAGGCCACGCAATAGTTTCTGCTGTTGCACAAATGGTAAGGATCATATCTGGGTAAGTACCAATTTCTTACAGAAGAACAAATCGAAGAGAAAGGATTATAGCGCTGGGTTTCTATTTTCATTCTGACGCTCCTTGGTAACGGGATTTCACTCTTTTAAAAAGGTTAGCACGGCAGTTGATGTCCATGGGCGAAGGTGATCATTTCAAATCAATTTAACCACTTTCTAGCTTACCGCCTTCTCATATAAAAATACTAACCTTAAATGACTTGCCATAATATTTATCGTGTATTAACTATTTTATCGATGCAAGATACAGATCGAACTAATATCAATCCAAATTATAATCTAAAATACCGAACCAAATTATAGATTTCCTCATAAAATAAATTCAATATAGTTATACGAAGTGACAATTTATTAAAAGGTAGCAACGCATCTGCAAGCCTACGGGTATTGTAAATTTCCATGGGCGGCGGTTATCACTTAACATCAGGTGAGCCGCCAGCTCGCTCGCCACTTCACATAATAAAAACAGTGGCGAGTCCCATCCAGAAGCTTATGTATAGCAGATAACTTTTTTCTGGCGATTGGCAGTGGGGAGGCTTCACTAGAGCGTGACGCATAATCATATTGTGTACTCACGCAGCGGCAGCAAACCCAGCTGGTTGTTGCTGAGGTCGAGCGCCCTCAGCCCACCGCAGTCGCCGAGGGTCATCGGCACCTGCGTCAGCCTGTTGTTCGACGCGTCTAACTCGGCCAGCGAGCCCATCTTGCCGATCTCCTTCGGCAGCGTAGACAGCAGGTTGTCCGGCACGAGAAGCACTTGCAACGGCATCTGGCATACTTCGCGGGGCAGTTCCGTTAGCTGGTTGGAGCTGCAGGACGAGAGAAAATGTTAAAATATATATCTAATTATTTCTTCACTGTACGCAAATACTGACATTGTTAAACAAAACTAATTAACCAACTTTTTCCTTCTTTATTTTAGTTTTAGTAACTGTAACCGCGACTAACTATGACGTTTTGGACATAAAAAAGATCTGAATCTGTCCAATGACTATGAACCCGGTGATGAAACTTAGGTCTAATATTGTAAATTAGTTATATTTATCAATCCGTATCTTGTTGTTTAGCTCTATAGATCTTGATATTGATCTTCTGATCAGAGCATTTGTCTTCGTTTTATTTATGTTTAAAACATTTGTTTAAACATTGCCCTTACTTTAGGATAACATTATCCTGGGTTGTAAGGACGTTTTACAAACATAAATTTAACTTGCACAAACACCCAGATCCGCACCACGCAGAACAACTAGCTGTGGGTCACACAAATAGTTGTCCCGTGTGGGAATTAAACCCCCGACGCCAAAGCCAATACCTTGGCAACTCCGTCACGGAGTCATCAAAAAACTTTACTTAAAGATCTATTTTCTTTATCAAGACATCAGAATTTAGATTGACTAGTAGAGAAAGCCATAGTATTAAAACCACCTACGCATCAAACTTCAGCGATAATGTAAATATATAAATAAAAAGCCTCTCTACGTAATTAAGACAAATGTGCAAAACTTTATAGTGCGTTGATTTGTAAACTCAAAATCCTTAGGAGGACCCTAAGGATTTTTGAGTTTGTAAAAATATTGAAGAGATACTTCAACACATGGCAGGCTTTAGTGATTTATTAAATTAATTCTAAATGCTTCAATCAGCCTCTCTTCAACAACATAAGACTCAAATGAATTTGCGTTGTATTTCACTATAATAATAATTACATTGACAAGGAACATTGCAATGTCGTTAAGATAAGATAATGAATGGCGCTTTGCAGATTAATTTTTTTTAATTAAATTCGCAAAAATGCAAAAACATTGTGAGAATTTGGTTAAAACTGTTTCAAATAAATGTTTGTTGATAAAGTAGAAATGTCAAATATTTTGAAATTAACAATTTCCGTTTCTTTTATGTCACGGTACAAATAAAGAAATTACGTTTGAAGTATGTATCATCAAATAAGAATAATACAATAAGTAATTAGTTGTGGATACAGAAAACTCCACAATATCCTCTGTACCTATTACGACACCCAATGAAGCTATGGATCAAACGTTTCGTCATCTACGACTAGCGTAACCGATACACGTAAGTGTTCATTCAACACTCACTGCACTGGGTATATACACTGCAATGGAGTCCTACTTCGAAGCAAAGATCGGATCAATTAAGACCGTAAATCCATCCTCGCCCACCTTAAGTCTTCTAGAGCTCGTGGCGAGGAAGTGTAAACAGCAGCGCTGGATATACGAACACTCAACGGCGATGTTGACGAGTACTGTGATGCGTGAGTTGCCTCATTTTTTATGCAGCGGAAGGACGGACATACCTTCACATTTTGCCGCGAACGTCATGCCGATTGTACGGGAGAACTGGAGCAGAGATAATCGTGTACCCTTTATGTCATTTCCACACAGAATAATATCCTGTTCTATCGCGAATGGCAACAAACTCCGTCGCCTCCACCGAGACTACACAAAACTTTCAACGTAGGTAACATTATGGACAGAATTTCAAAGGTCGTGTACAGTCATTGGCCTTTGTGGTGCACCCGAAAATAAATGAAGCGAAGTTTAGTAAAATAATGAATTATTAACTTATTATTTTCATAGCGGTAGGAAAGGTGTTACAGCCCTTTAAAATAAGGATAGACGCTTAACTAGCACAGAAAAATAATTTTCTACAAGTTCCTTAATTAAGATATTAATTATCTAAATCACAATGGTGTGGTCTCACTTGCACGACACGTTTGTATTTGCCTCTTATGACCAAAGTATGGCGCGTCGTGTTCATCTGACAAGACTGAATAAAATGAAGAGTACACGCATAGCATCAGTTTCCTATGTTTAACCCGATGGTGTCCAATGTTAAGCTGTATACAGCTGCATATATCGCTTTCCCAATTACACGAATAAACGATTGAGGTCAACATACTTTGAATCGATATGTTAGTTTAGTGTTCGGAGGGTGTTCCAGGACGTTCATCCAGACTAGGGAGTTCTTTTTGCGCTAACACGACTCGGGCCGTCTAGACGCCTAGACTTTGCTACGAAACTGGATTCAATACTGGGATTAATAATAGAATAGGGTTCAATGTACGTTAGCTTAAAGACATTGATTGCGACTATTTATAATATCAGTTTAATATAACATACAAAATAAGAAAATTTAAAACAATATCGGTGAAAATGTGACATAATTTCATTACTATGTTGAATTAAAAAAAAAAAGCTTTTTGTTAATATTATGAAAGCTATCTATTTTATTATTCTATAAGTAATATTTATATGTTAATTTAGAAAAGCCTCACCACTTACTAAAATACAATTGTAAAAGCAATATCTACACGCGTGACAAATGACTTGTAGTTAGTTATTATATGAGATATCGAATTAACGCGATGAAGAAATAATGACTAGTTTGACAGTGAGAGCTGTTTTAAAAGTAAATAAAAAATATATTGATATCAGATAAGAATAATTTCAGGTTTTATTTTTCTATAGGACCAAACGAAGCAAGAGAACAAGAGTGTTTGTTGCCGCCACTATTATCTGGCTAGCACCTTTCGTCTAGACAGAGGCTGTCTTCTGAATTGAAATGGATACCTATTGCAGTTCATTTAACCCTTTTCGTATCATCAAATTCACGAGTAACGGTATTTCAGTGCTGTTATTTCTCAAAGCACGCTGTTGCTCTAAACCTTTAGATCTATTCATAATTTTTCAGGTGTAAAGTTTATACAGGTTAATAAGTTTACCAAAGTCTCGTATACGCTAAAATATGTGGAAAAGTCCTTTCCGTTATATCCCTTCCAGCATACAAACAATTTCAAATATCGTTTTACAACGATAATTCGAACGAGAGATGTCGCCATTGCTTTTTAGAAATTTAAATTGTTTATAGAGCTAATCTTTGCACTTAAGATAAAAGAGAAGAAAAAGTACACAGCGGCGACAATCTTTTCGTATTTTTTCTACATATTTTAATGTTCAATCTTAAGTGCAAAGATTAGCACTATAAACAATTAAAATTTCTCGTATACGCATTTTATAGACGCATAGACGCATTTTATACATCGGTAGCACAGAATGGTCACGCTGCGTAAGTTTAATTTATTTTCCCTTACTGTATAATAACATTATCCTGCTTTGTAACGATGTTTCACATACAAACATAAATTTCCGATGGTCAAGCATAGAACACACAAGGGACAGATAACAAATAAAATATGTGTCCCGTGCCGAAACCCTGCGGTTTTCTTAAATATTTAACCTAAACGCAACAGGATACAGGTGTCTGTGTCAATAAAAGTTTCGATTAGTGAAAATCGTTCTCCTTCGATCAGTCGATGTCGCACTGTACTGCCAGATTTTGCTCATACTTGTTGGCTGAGGATAAAGGGGAGTCTTTTGTCACTCTAAATAACGTCCGAGCTAAGTTATTAAAAAGTTAAAGGAAGAACTGCCTACTCCGTAATTGTGCATAGGTAACAGCTCCGCCAGCCAAACTTCCCTGTCATAAACGGTCTCGGATGACACGTCTTTAAAACAATCGTAACGGTGCAGACTTATCCAGGGCGTAAGGTTCAGCTTGTGTTGCCAAAAGGTTACGACACAATGTAGCAACGTCGGACCTACAAAATGAACATGAAACATTAAAGCCAAAGTCACAATTATTATTCGATGATGATCATCATGATCATTCCAGTCAGTTAGAGTCCACTGCTGAACCTAGGCCTCCCCCACAGACTTCCAATCATAGGGGGATTTTACCGTAGTTGCCACAGACCCTTTACTTCCAGACCCTTCGCTCTTAAAACGCTGCTGCTTACTGGTCTGAGTATTTAGGACCTGGAAATTCGAGATGCTAATCTCGCCATCTATCGGACGCCACAGTCTGCTTGTGGCTTATCGCTTATCCGGTGATAATATACAATATCGATGCGTTTCATCATTCTGTTCACACTCTTGTTTATATACATATCTCTATGGCCGTCTTCATTTATTGTCGTGGAAGCGTGCCGCAGTGGGGACGTCGCATCGGTGTCGTCCCTAACCCGATGCGACCGTTATCGCGCCGCCCGTATATGGCATCACAACATGCCGTTTCACCGGAACGCCCGAGACGAACGGTTTGTCAACCGGCTGCGCTGGCAACGCGCTTTCGCGTCCAGCTATCGATGCCCCTACGCTATTAGTCAATTACGCGTGTAATCCATCTATGTAATCATCATATGAACGTTGCTGAAATTGAACATAGAATCACGAAAAAAATAATAAAATTAAGATGAACTAATTCTTTCGTAGTTTTAGTGTTAAAGCAGTTTAAACAGACATTTTGATACAACTCTACGGCGACTAGTGTTTGTTTACGAGACTGCAAATAGTATTACGTACCCACTGCGGTGCGGACAATTAACTCCGAAATCAACATACCGTAACTTCAATGGCAGAAAGTCGGCGTATATTCAAAAACATCGCATAATAGTGTTAGTAAAATTGTAGTCGGTTGCATTTGCAAAATAATTTTAACAACATTAAATAATTTAAATTTAGATACTTCTTTCCGTATGAACGTTTTGAAAACTTGATTTTTATCCAAACTTAACTTATAAGTTAAAGGATAATTTATCACTGGTATTTCAACAAACAATTTTGAGATTTATTTGATAGTTAGAATTCAAAACTTTATTTACCAACTACGGTCACTATACGTTTCAAACAGTATTGACGTCGCTACGTCTGAACTAATGTTTGCCAAGGGTACGTTAACAGAGATTTATTACGTTACTATGTGCACAGGACCTCGTCCAAATACACCTACGTCAAATTAGCGGACATAATGTCAGCGTTCGCCTACGAGGCAAATTCACGACCACCGAACATTCCTAAACAAAGACGTTTTCATAATAATAATATAATAATAATAAAATATCTTTAATCACATAGACGCTTGCGCGTTCTTATGAAACGTCGACATTTTACAAGAAAATTAAGTTAAAAATTAATTACAGTGATATCGTTTTCTGTAATCAATTTATAATTTAAGTAGCGACCCGCCCCGGCTTCACACGGGTGCTATGTATTATATAATACATCCTCAAGAACCAGTTTAATCATGGCTAGTATACCAGTTTATTAATGTAATAAATAATGGTGTAAAACAGTTTTCAGTATATTTATTTTAAAAAAATAACGCATTTTTGTACCGAAACGGTGATAAAATTGTAGCATCAAGCAGGAGTGTTCAAACTGCATTAACGTAAGTCGCATAAAGGATCATTATTTTAAAATTAATACTTACAACAGATACATTTAAATTCTTATGTCGGGCTTGCTATCGAAGATGCGACGGTTCGAAACCCACTTGCATCCGCTTTTTCGATGTACGGCGATAGGCACAACCTGATTACAATTAAAATAGATCTGTCTACTTCGTTATGAATTATAGGACGCGACAATTCGAACTCTTTTTATTTTATGCGAAAAATTGGCAACCGTGCAGGCGGTCAACTCCATATAAAATGATTACCGCCGCCCTTGGCCATCTACAACAGATGAGGCGTTGCTAACCTTTATAAAAGTAGGCCCGCGTTACCTCACTCAGTAAACGAAACGCGACAGTATAATAATTCCAATTGACGCCGGTCTTCTGTGAGGGAGAGATACTTCCCGGACGAGTCTGCTCATTCGTGAAAGAGCATAAGTAATTCATTTATATATTGAACCTAGGATTGGTTTAGAAAATGTTTCCTGCTTCACTTGCGTTTACAATGTTTAATTTGTTTAATAAACCTCTCCGCATTAGGTATACTATCCGGGTTATTCGTGACTGTATGAGTATTGTATCACTTGCGATATTTGACCCCATTTCCTTTTTCACTATGACTTCGTAATAATATTAAAATCGCGACGCCTGTTCGGATGATGCGATAATGTAAACAGCGCTTAACGCTTTAGATTCAAAGTCAAAAGAGACTACATCTAAAAAACATACTAACTTATTATAAAAGACCGAAAAACTTCGCCAAATCAACGCCAGTTAGACTCCTTATGGATACATCATCTTTTCAAATCGGGCTAAAGTACCTTTCTTCGCTCAGTGCGTACGGAAAAGCGTTGCGTAAAAAAGGGGGAAATACTGTTTGCACATCGAGCACGGCTCCCGGAAGAGCATTGTATGTTTCCGCTCTGCTGAATCAAGGTCGCCACTATGGGGTCAGTCGTCGCATAGGGGGGAACTAACGCACGCAAAAATCGACGGCAGGCGCCGTGAACTATGGCCTTGCTTTATAACGAACGTATTGATAAATGTAGTGTGAACTTAATACGAGTAATTACCTTGTCGAACAAAGACAAAGCACTGTTCTTTTGGGTTTTTTCAACATATATAAAAAATCTTACAAGCAATACAAGCACAAACAGTTGTTGTTATCGGTATCTTTACATTGTTGCCACTAAGACATACTCTCAAAATGTGTATAAGGCGTATAGTTTAATTTTTAAAACAATCAGCCACGACCACACAGAAGACCGGTGTGAATTGGAAGCGTTATGCTTCTGTTTTTCATCTAGTGAGTGAGGTAGCCGGGGCCCACCGTGTATTAAAAGGTGGCAACGCATCTGCAGGCCTACCGGTGTTTCAAATGTTAATGCGCGGCAGTTATCACTTCACATCAGGTGAACCGCCAGCTCGTTTGCCATCTTCTAACATAAATTTTTAATTTTTCCAACGTCCCAGCTTTCGTTGCGCCATTTTCAAGACAAGGACGAAACGAACGCAAAAGTCAATCA